AAATATACTATAGCAATACTTTCTTCATTTTCAACCAGCAACTGCCTTCTCCTTTACCTTTAGCCCACATATAGTCCTTCGGATGTCTCCAAATTTCAGTAAGCGAGTAGGATGGAGTTCCCACCATGAGCCCTGGAACTGAGCAGGGCTCTGTAGGCACCAAGTGTGAATCATTTAGTGCAGTTCATCCAGTGTCCCCAACTATCCTTTTCTGGGGACATTTTAGGGTTTCACTTGTCCACCTCTTTTGAAGTCAGGCATAGTCACAGACTTGTTTTAGCAAACAACACACATATGGAATGATAAGTGTTATGTCCTGGCAGAAGCTTTAAAAGCTGGCTGTGTGGTTTTCCCTGTTTCCTTCCCACTGTTGTTTTCATCAGGAATGTGGGTGAAGATGAAAAGCCTTCCATTAGCCTAGGTCCCTGAGAGGACTCACGATCAGAGCCCCCTGCTGGCCCACAGTAGACGTGCAGGTGGAGTAGGAAAGAAAGCCCCTGAGATTTTGGACATGTTGTGACTGCGACATGACTTAGCCTGACCTGATTGTTACACTGAGAATGCTGAAGAAAAAGAAACCAACTCCTATTTACAAGAAGCTTAGAGTATAGTTGAGGGGATAAGTCATATCCACAAAATAAATGTAGAGACTCAATGAGCAGGTAGTAAAAAGCTAAATTGGAAAGTAGAGATAATTAGCAAACAGGACATGGTGCTAAAGGTGAGCCACTAAGACAATGCATTAAAAGGGAATAAGAAAAGGGAGAGCTCAGCATGGGCTTACAGTTCTCAGAAAATATTTCATTTCCATTAAAAAAAGTAAAATTACATAATTTATTGAAAAGTATTATAGGAAATGGCTCTACAAATATGTTGACTCTTCTCTTTTCAAACTGTAATAAAAATTTGAACTTAAATTACGGGGCCATTTTAAGTCTGTTTGATTTTAGCCTTTCCAATAACCAGCGCTAATAAGGCAATAACCCAGGGATGAGGTTATTTGTCCTTTGTCACCACAAAGATAGGGGCAGTAGCAGTGGTCATGGCATGAAGTAAAGAGACTAGAAATATATTTTGCAGTCATCACTTCAGGAATAGGTAATGTGTGAATGTGAGGAGTGACGGATGTGTCAGGGAGAACTCCCAGGTTCTGGCATGAGCAAAGTTTCTATTTTGTGCAGTGGGGAAGCAAGGAGGAGGAACCAGATTGGAACAAAGACACTCATGTGAGGCTGCTGAATGGCAACTGGATCTGCTGGTCTGAAGCTCAGCAGAGCAGGGTAGGTTACAAATGTGCAGGGTCATGGGCTTAGTGCTGGTGTTAGGCTGTGGGAGAGGTTCAGGGGTGTATAGAATGGCCGTCGCCTCACAGAACACATGACAAGTGTGGGGCACTGGACAAGGATGGTGACATGGGGTTGAAAAACAGGAGCAAGATCAAAAGGAGTTCTTGGGAACCGAGAAGAGGTTTCATCAGAAGTCTAATGACTTAAGAAAATAATTAATTCTTGAAATCCCTTGATCCAATCCCAGACCCCTAGGAAAATATGGAAAAGTTTATACCTGGCTCCTGAATCACAACTAAATCAAGTGGCACCTAAATCACAACTAAAACAAGTGGCACCTCTCTCCTGTACCTATCCCCACTTCACAAGTGAACTTCGGTTTCAGCTTTTACTCTAGTTTCATCTCCCACTCAATGACTACTTTTCAAGAAGGAATGACATTTTTATCACTTTGCAAGTTTTTACTATTCAAGCAATCTTGAGTAAAGAGATGCTTCCCAAATGTCAAACTGTGACAGACTGCTCACCAGTCCATGGCAAAATGGGAAAACTGGAACCATGGAACATATATACATCAGCATAAAGTGGCCAACTATCACTTCCTGGGGAAGGTACCCCTTTATTCTGAAACGATGTCAGTCCTCTCCTTTTAACATTAAAATGTCCTTCTTTGAGGTGCCTGAGTGGCTCAGTTGGTTGAACATCCAACTCTTGGTTTCAGCTCAGGTCATGATCTCATGGGTCATGGGATTGAGCCCTGAGTTGGGCTCTTCACTTAGCGGGTAGTCTGCTTGAAGATTCTCTCCCTCTGCCCCCATCCCCCCTCACAGGCACTCTCTCTAATAAATAAATAAACCTTTTTTTAATTTTTTTTACGATCTTATGTATTTATTTGACAGAGAGAGAGAGAGAGCACAAGCAGGGGGAGCAGCAGAGGGAGAGGGAGAAGCAGGCTCCCCGCTGAGCAAGGAGCCCAATGTGGGGCTCGATCCCAGGACCCCGGATCATGACCTGAGCCGAAGGCGGATCCCTAACCAACTGAGCCACCCAGGTGCCCCTAAATAAATAAATCTTTAAAAATAAAATAAAATAAAATGTCCTTCCTTTTATGAAATAATGGTGATAAGAGGTATTTTTTAGGGGCACCTGGGTGGCTCAGCCATTAAGCGTCTGCCTTCGACTCAGGTCATGATCCCAGGGTCCTGGGATCGAGCCCCGCATCGGGCTCCCTGCTCAGTGGGAAGCCTGCTTCTCCCTCTCCCACTCCCCCTGCTTGTGTTCCCTCTCTCACTGTGTCTCTCTGTCAAATAAATAAATAAAATCTTAAAAAAAAAAAAAGAGGTATTTTTTAATGTCCTTACTTAGTAAAATAAAAAAAAATCCTATGTATGACTCCAATTTAAAAAAAAAAAAAAATTGTCCCAATCTGTGAAATACCAAATCAGAAAAGAACAAGAAGTGAGAAAAACAGAACATCACTGAAAAGCCAAGTGCCAGCTCTCGGCAAGGTGCACACTCTAGCTGAACAACTCCCTCCCAGACACAACGCCGGAAATATCCAGGATTCACAACTGTGCCTCGGCAGACTTTGCTAAATGCCATGGACATCTGGAGTTGTTTCCAGACAGTCAAAACCACAAATGTTAGGGTGCACTTTATCGGCAAAGCTGAGTCATTATGCAAAAGGCAAAGAAATTCCAGAACTCTAAGAACTGTAAACAGGCCCTTTGTAGCTGCTTTCTCTCCCTTTGTAGCTCCTCACCATGTTGGGATCTTGATTCGATCAAACCAACTACAAAAAGACTGTGTTGGCATTGAACATAGTTAAATATGATCTGGGTAGAACTTGCTAGTAAGAAGTTACTATTAGTTTTGCTAGGTGTATCAGTGTCATCATGTTAAAAAATATTCTTATAATTTAGAAATGCATACTCAAGTATTCAAGGTGAAACTGATGACATTTGGTATTGTTTTAAAATATTTTAGCAAAAATAAAATAGAGAAACCGAATATGACAAGCTGTTGAACATTGTTGAATCCTGATGATGATGGAGGCACAATTCACTGTCCTTTACTTTTATGTATGTTTGAAATTTTCCACAATAAAGTTGCAAGGAAGGAAGGGAGGAAGAAAAGGAGAAGGAAGGAAGGGAGAAAAACTACCCTCCAACATGCTTATTACCATTTCATGATGACTTTAAATGGAAGGAAGTGTTAATTAGTTAAATAAGGAGGCCTTTAGTCTTGAGGTGGCCCTAAGCCAATAAATGCCTCAAGGTTACAAAATTGAAACCTAAGGACAACCAATCACAAACAGCAAACAAGGCTTTAAAGCTAAAGCCAATAATGGGGTACCTGCGTGGCTCAGTCGGTTGAGTGGCCAACTCTTGGTTTCGGCTCAGATCATGCCCTGGGGGTCGTTAGATCAAGCCCTACATCAGGCTCCGCACTCAGTGGGGAGTCAGCTTGAGGATTCTCTCTCCTTCTCCATCTGCCCTTCCCCCTGCTCACACATGCTCTCTCCTCAAATAAATAAATAAATCTTAGAAAAAAAAATAAGCTAGAGCCAATCAATAATGTCCTTACTTCGCCTCTGCCTTTTCTCTGTTAAAGTCCCTCCCCCAGCTCCTGCTGGTAGAGCACTGCTAACAACTTCTGGCTTGGTGCTGTCCCACCAGAACCAATTTTTGCTCACATAAACTCTTAAAATTTTCAATACGCCTCAGTTTATCTTTTGATAGAAAAAGAGGTGAATTAAGAGAGAAGAGAAATTCCACTAATATTTGGGAACACCTACTTTAGGTTAGTCTCTGTGCTGTGTGCCCTCCTATGTGTGCATATCACATGTCAGGTAGCTTTTATTACCACCAGTTTATAAAAATTAGACTCGGGTTCAATCTGTTTTCACATGGAAAATAGAGAACAAATCAGGCCATTGGAACTATCTTGGCTGCTAAAGAAATTCACCAGTGAGCGGATTAAAAACAAAAATAATTATGCTGACTCCTCATGTGCTCTCTTTCAATCCACAATGATGCAGATGCGCAGGCTCTGCCAGGGGTGGGGGCATCTCTTCCTCCAGGCCTTTCCATAACGGTCTCTGGCAACACACGCAGCTCCCAGCATCCTGACCCAGGCCCCTTCCATTTCCCTGCCACTGGGGGAACTGTACATGAACTCTGACCTGGGACTATGAAAAGGAAAGACAGAACTTCTGTCATTACGTCCAGGAAAGGGCAGAAGGAAAACCGTGAACCCAGCCGGTGGACTCCCACCCATGACCCAGAGCTACGCTAAGCTGAAGGCTCCGTGGAGGGCACATCAGATTCCTCTGCTCTTCCCCACGTGCTTTCTACCTTGCACATCTGGGCCCTACTCTCTTAATACCACTCTCTTCAGATTTCATCCTGCCTCCAAAACAATCAATGGAAATCTGTGCATCCGCATGCATAGTGGTTTCTGAGGGCAAGCTCAGAGCCAGACCACAAAGAGTCAAACCCTGGCCACTTAGTTACTGGGTGACATGGGACAAGTTTATAACTTCTCTGTGCCTTAGTTTCTTCCTCCCCTCTAAAAAGGAGGATGACCCCGGGGCTGCCGAGGATGAAATGAGTTAGTTCCAGTAAAGCACTGAGAACACAACACATAGCACTTAATAATGTTAGCACTGTTACTATAACCTATCCTTATTTGGTTTCACCCCAGGCCACTTACTTTCCAATTGATCCCCAAATACAGGTAGATCTCCGTGCCGCTTCCATCTTTGACTTTGCTTGATGCTCTTCCCAAATATTTTCTCTCCATCGTCCGTAAATTCTCCAGCTGAAGCCCTGCCTCCTCCCCAAGTCCTGACTGTTGGAGGCCCCCAGTCCAGATCTCCAGCCAACTTCTGTACTGCTTACTGCTATCTGCCGCTACCTGAAAACTTTGAAGAAATGAGTGCATGAGTCATGGTCTCGTGAGAAAACAGGAAGCACCTCAAAAAGGCAACCACGGGGGCTATTTATGGAGGCATAGGCAGGGTTAAGGGAAACATCAAGTGACCCAGAGAACTAGCAACAGGGGAAGTAGTTATCCCCCAGGCCTGAGGAAACAAGGGAAGGGAGCAGTTACTGAAAACCAGTGGGAGGCCTTGAAGAGGCCACCCAGGTAATGGCCTTGAAGTAAAGAAACCATGGGGACAGGGAGTGAACCAATGTCCCACCTCTGTCTTCCCCTCGAGCAGTCTCTTGCAGGTGGTTCCCACTGGGCGGACACAACTGGAGGCCAGAGCCCAGACAGAGGTCAGTCTCCCTGTGATGGAGAGAAGGGTGAAGGGACCTGGAGAGGCAAACAGAGGCTAGTAACCATGGACAGGTCTGAATCAAGCTAATCATCACTCAACTGGGGGCCATCTTGTATTCGTCCTTAGTGTCTCTTGCATGCAGACCTCTGCAAGAGTCAGTATGGAGAAATGGAAAAAGCATGGACTTGGAAATCAGAGGCCTGGTATATCAGGGGACCCTGTCAACTACCAGCTGTATGACCTTAGGAAAGTAATTTAACAGTAAAATCACACTGGCCTCACGGGGTTGCTGTGAGAATTAAATTAGAAAAGTCCTTTCCTCTTCCCTATTCTCTTTCTAACTAGGACTGAGGGTCTAACTCTTACCTCCTCTAGATCTAGAAATGCCAAAAAATCAGTAAGAATGTGCACACTTGTTGATAAAAGAAACATTTCTTTGAATCCAAAATCCTTCTAGGCAACTTAAGAAATTTGTATGGGCTTTGCTTAAAGCTGGCTTGTCCATTGAGAAAAGCAGAAAAATATATCAAAGGACTCATAGACCTTTAGAATCTTGCAAATCAAAGTGTGGTCCAGCAGCATTCCCATCACCTGAGTGCCTATTAGAAATGTAGAATCTCATGAGGCGATGGATAATAACTAAATTTCCTGTGGTAATCACTTCATAATATATGTATGTCAAGTCATTATGCTATACGCCTTAAACTTCCATCTCAATAAAAGTGAAAAAAAAAATGCAGGATCTCAGGTTTCATACCTCCACTGGTAATTCGCATTTTAACAAGATCTCAGGTGATCTGTATGCACTTTAAAGTTTAAGAATTCCTTGGGGGAAAAAAAAAAAGTTTAAGAATTTTGAACTAAAGGAACCCCAGAGATCATGTACATTCTGTTTAAACTCCCTCACTTTATAACTGAGGAAACTGATGTCCAGAAGAATATAAATTGTCCTGAAATTGTCTGAAAAGATGCTGCCCCTTGATTAATCCTATAGGTATTTCCAACCCCTCCTCCCTTGCTACTCTCCACTTTACAATGTGAAACAACTATATATTTTCCTAGTCTTCTTTGCTGCTATGAGTGACTACATGATAGTCCTAAGGCTTTCTTGCAAATCTGCTTTGTTGGTAGAGTAAGCCAGACATGGATGTACTGTCCTTCCCTGTGCATCCTGCCAGAGTTGCCGTGGGGTCTGGAGCTAGGATGGGCCTCTTGTGACAATAAAGCTACAAGCATGAGGATAAAAGGGCCACATAAGGGCTGTAATAGGTAAAGACACAAGGACCTTCGTCCTGGATGACATCATTTAGCTGGTGGCTGAAATCTAGCCAATAACTTCCTACTTTCAGCTTTCTTATCATTTACAAGTAAGTAAATCTCTTTTTGTATAAGACACCACTTGTCCATCCTGTGTAACGTCACACAGCTAGCAAGTGGATAAGCCAACATTAGGACTCAGGGCCTCTGACTCCCAGCCCAGAAATTCTTCCCATGCCTCCTTCCTGACCAGATTTCAATAAACACATATGGAATCAAGAAGTGCTAAGGAACGCCTGCGTAGCTCAGTCGGTTTAAGCTTCTGACTCTTGATTTTGGCTCAGGTCATGATTCCAGGGTCGTGGGATCAAGCCCCACATCAGGCTCCATGCTCAGAGGGGAGTCTCCTTGAGATTGTCCCTCTCTCTCTCTCTCTCTCCCCCTCCTCCCTCTGTCCCTCCCACTTGTGCTCTTTCTCTAAAATAAATAAATCTTTATTTTTTTATTTTTTTCTAAGATTTTATTTATTTATTTGAGACAGAGAGAGAGCATGGAGGGAGAGTGAGAGGGAGAAGCAGACTCCTGGCCGAGCAGAGAGCCTGATGCAGGGCTCGATTCCAGGACCCTGAGATCATGACCTGAGCCGAAGGCAGATACTTAACTGACTGAGCCATGCAGGTACCCCAAATAAATACATCTTTAAAAAAAAATGCTAATGTGGCGATGCACCTATCCATGGGAAAAGAAGTGTTATAACAACTCTTTTGAAGTTGACAGTAACGTATCTTAAGGGCGAACAATCAGGTTTAATCTAGGCCTTTTGCAAGTGTGTATTCTCTTGACTTTAAAAAAGGAGACAAGGACAAGAGGAATAAAGAGTAGACAGACCTTCATTTCACCAAAGACTCTGCCCTGACCATTTGTGTGCCTTGTGGAACTTCATAAATAAAACCGAAATAAGTGCTAGGTACACTTCCTGTTGAGTGACACCACTGCTAAATGTCATGTTGATTCATCAAGGTCTACAGATTCCATTAATATGCCGTATGGATCTACTGAGACATGAAAAATGAATGTCTAACCACAGGTTGCTGTTCTCAAACTTACTTTTAAAAAGTCAACAAAATACAAGGGCTAGAATTCGTTAAGCCAGAGAAACCATAAAGGTAAACGAAAGTGATGGCATACCCAGAAACAGAAACTTCCAGAAGCTAGACAGCCCATTGGAGGAAATGCCGGCTCTGGATGGGCCCAGGGGAGAGTCTGAAGAGACATGGCCATCAGAGCCAGGGTTTATGGAACAGGTCAGATTTGCTTCCTTCCCTACACAGAAAGGCTTTTGAAGAGCTAAGGAGGGTCCCATTTGGGCTCTTGCCAAAACCAGTCTGCCATTTTTAAGGGAGGAAAATGAGTTGTTAGACACTGAGCAGTCATAATCATTTTGTTTTTGTAAGATTACGTTTGACGAAGCAATGTTTCATCCTTGCTGTGGCCTTGTCAGGTTGGCTCCGTCCCCCCGTTTTACAGTTGAGACGTTAGGAAACTTACTCAAGATCACATATCAACAAGTATAATGAAAAAAACCTCCATAAGGCCCTGTAGGCTCACCCTGCTTTTAACTTCATTGGGACATTCTTCCCCACGTTTCCTCAGCTACAGCCACCCTGGTTGGACCCTAACTCACTGCTCATTCTACACCCATTCTTACCTCTTATTTCTGGTCTCAGCTTCAGTTACCTCTTATTTAAGAAATCTTTTCCTCATGCCCTACCCTAGACTAATTATCTTTTTTGTGAGCTCCCACTAGGCCATATACTTCTTTGCACTATGGCTGTCATTAACTAATCACTTGACTGATTGATTGACTGAGTAAATGAATTAGATAATGATTTGTTTACTCTCAGATGTTGGCACTGAGAGGTGGTTTTGTGTTATGTTGGGAGCGAGGTGTCTTTGACCACTTGACAATCTCCATCAGCTCTTCTTCACCATCCATCCCAAACAAACAGATAATGTGAGAGAAGTCATTTTGCAGTGCAAAATCACCTTCAGGATGAACCTCTATGCCACTCCCTTTCTCTCTGAAAACCCCCATTCCCTCCTATGTAGAACTTTAGAACCATTTTTTTAACGTCTTCCACTCTGACTAGAGTTAAGAGCTCCATGAAGGCATAGACTATTTCTCTCGCTCACTCTTGAATCCCAGCACCTAACCAAGTGCTTAGCACATGGCAAGCGCCGCAGCATTTGTTCAGCGAATGGATAAATGAATGGATGTATGACTTAGTCCTCCTAGATGGGTGGTTTCCCACTATACCACTCCCCCTCCTGCTAGGAAGAAGGCTACAGCAACTGCCACTTTGGACACTGTCTTCTGCAGATCTCCAATGCACAGCCTTGGTGGGGGCAGGGGCTTGGAAACACAAAGCCCCCAACAGACAATTCTTGGTTGAGTTGGCTAAGATGTTACACCCACACTCAGTGCCCTTTCAGGGGATTCTTCCCTTGGCTGGGGAGAAATCCTGAAGTGCTGGAGGTAGCAGGGCTGAGCAGAGGTTTCTTCCCTGCCAAGACTGAGGGAGCCATGGCACCAAGACCCAAGTCATCCCTGCCTTGCTTCACATCTGTAAGGAATCAAAACAGACCCAGGGCTTCCCTCTCAGGCCATTCTCTGAAGATAAGGAGAGCACCCAGACCCAACAGAATGAACTCATGGAGGGCAGAATGTTTGATGGTCCAGATGGCCTTCTCTTCATCCAAGCTCTTGACATTTGGAAAAGCAAAACTCTTTATGGCCCCTTCCTCAAAATCACTTGGAGATATTGATCTAAAAAACAAACAGAACAATTCCAGGACTCCACCCCAGACCTACTGAATCAGAATCTCCAGGGATGATCTAAGAAATCTGTTTTGAACAAGCTCTCCAACAAATTTCTGATGCTTGCTAAAGTCTAAGATGCTCTTAGCTCTCAAGTCCCTTCTTAGCCAAGAACTTTCAGAGGCTGAGCATCAATTTAAGCAAGCCAGGTCTTCGAGGTAGAGGAATTCCATGGGACTAAATGAGACTCCATCCAACCTGATTCCTTGCCCCCAGTGGCAAGTGGCCTGGATCACTGCCTCTTCAGCCCTCCCCCAAGCTTATCCTTATCACAGTCAGAGTATCTCGGACCTACCAGAGTGAGAAGAAAACTAAAGGATTAGGACCTGGTTTTTGTCACTTAAAAACACAGTTCAAAGTACCAGATTGAGCCTGGAAGGCACAGGAATGTGATGGCTTTTCTTTGTTTATTTTGAGGACAAGCAGGGACATTTTGGCAGCCAAATCACAAAGCCCATTTCATTTCCCAGTTACCCGCTCAGGTGCTTCTGGGTCTAGCCCCTCCTCCTTCTACAGCCAAATATCTGCCAAAAGTTCCCACTGCCGGGAGGGGCCCAGGGCCAGGTCACAACTGATCCAAAATTCTGATTGGTAGTTCATGGACTCTTTTGTTCTTTAAAAAATGGACACTTTTGAGAAATTGATGACCACCAGAATCCCTCTCCTCAATACCACCAAAAAGCATATAATCCCCAAGATTTTTCATATAATTTCAGGGGTGCACAGGCTCCTTTGAGCCCATCCATGAACCTCTGCCCATTAGCCCCAGGTTAAGAATTACCAAAAACATGACAGAGAATTAAGAACCAGAAATGGCTAAAAATTTTTATACACACATGAGGAAAGTCAAGGTGGGGATGGGGTGGGATGCATAAGGAAACAAGTTATATGTAT